TGGGCCCTGCAAGATGGAGCATGGTGATCCTAATTCTTAGGCCAGTGCTGTGTCTCCTGGGAATTCTGGCCCCTTCCTGACCCTTAGGCTCCCAGTGAAAGATTGTTAGTCTTGGAAACTAGGCCCTTTTCCCTCAAACAGCAGAAGACAGAAATAGGATTGGGGTTAAATCCAGGAAAATGAGCAAGCAAAGAAAATGACCCAAGATTCATAATCTGGTGAGTACTGGAAAGAAATTCTAATTCTACCCTTATTTTCAGAATACATTTTGAAGACAGACATGCAGACCTTGTCTGTGCCCCATTAAACCTAGGAGAACACACTAATAGGAAGATTCTACTCACCTATTTTTTCCAAATTATGGTATATTAGTTGGTGAAATTTGGTTGTAGCATTACTGTTTCCGTGATTCGTTTGGATTCTGACATCATTTCTTCTTGACACTATTGGTCTTGTCCATTTGAGAGACAAGTACATACATATAGTAAAGTAATTTAAGGAATATTGGGTTTGTAATTAAAAGACTGGGTAGGAAACCTTGCTCTATCATTTAATTGGTATTTTTTTTAAACCCTGGCTAATTCAGAACTTAATCTGTCTGAACCTCAGTTTCCTCCTTCATGTGAAAGTGCCTGGCATAATACCTGGCACATTGTGGTTGCTCAATATGTGTTTATTGGATGTGAAAGCAGGAAGGACAGCTTGTTTTTCAGAATGTTGCAGATAAGTAATTCTGGAATCCTCTAGATCTGAGCAGTTCTTTTCTATCTCATTTCCAACTTAATGTGTTCATTCCATTAAATGAGGTTTTTGGCTAGAGAGCCCAAGGCTAAAGATGAAGGGGGAGGAAAAGAGAAGGCTGAGTGATTAGTGTGAAGGCAGACTAACTCAGTCTCGGGGGGCTACCTCCATGTATTTTGCCCTCCTCACTTTAAGTCTTTGTGTCCTCTGCCCCATAGCCCACAGCTATTAATAACTCCCTTTACCCAGTGTGGCATTGTGGCAGGTGGGCCACCTGTATATATAAAAAGAACGTGACTGTCAGATCCACTTGTGTTGATGTGCAGGTAGTAAGACTGAGGGTGAGGCTGGCATAACAGATTTAATCACATCTTATGGAAGCAGGACCAGATGTTATATGTAGGTCAATCAAAGAATTTCTCACAACAGATAGGCGAAGTACGAGAGAATGCATCTAATTTTTAAAGTTCTATTTGTAGATGTATTTTGGTAAGAAGAGTTTCTTTTGGACACTCAGGGGTAACTTGCTGGTTGTATCTGGGATACCATATTGTGCTAATTGAACAGAATTGTCACTCGTGAAAGTTGCATTATTGTCGCAAATAGAACTGTCTTTGCATGTAATAAAACACATGCAGAGATGCAGCATGGCATTATGCTTGTATTGTGAGTATGTGTAAGAGTTTGGAGAGTTAATATTTAGTTCAAGTCTAATTACAATCATTAATTTCTATGGTTTCCAGACTGCAGTCTTGCAATGATCTGGGGTGGACTTCACTTCCATTTCACTCTCATTCTCTTCCTGTTTGTATGTCCTTTTTCATTGTGCTATTTCCCCCTCTAGATTCTCAAATCAAGAGGGAAGCTAAACTTTTTAATATGCTAACAGAAAGTCAGAAGCAACTGAGAAGAAAAACAAAAAAGAAATGATAACCACAAGTAAGGCAATAATTGTTTTAATTAGAGCGCCGCCTAAAGAGATTTGGCATTGTAGCTATGTGTAAACTACAGGCAAGTTATGTACATATTTTCCAATCGTCAAATAGAGTTATCAGAATAACAATTTCACAACTTCACTGGACCCTTGATTCTAATGCCCTGAATTTAGTAATACATGGCACTAAAGAAAGAACTTCAAATCTGCCAGCTATTTATTCATTGTCTGAATTAGCTTTGTATAAAAATGAAGTTAAATGTTTTGTTTAAAAGATAAGTGACAACACAGCAAAAGAAAATTAGCCCTGCTGAAGGACTGTAGGGGAGGTACATCTTCCCTACATGACCCATGGAACACAATTGCTCAGGCAGGTGCTGCGAATATGAACTTGAGCACTGGAGCAGGAGTCTTGGGTAGGAGCGGAGCCTTTAAAAATAGTTGGAGAAACAATGGCATGAAAGGATAGGCACGTGGGATAATGCATTTTATACTTAAGGATTTGACAGTACAGTTAAGAAAAGAATCAGTAGCCAACATATATATTTTAACACAGTGAGAAAACTGTCTAGATGTAGTTGAAAGGGACAGAGTACTGGTCACATTGTATAGAAATGGTCAGGAACATTCTTCTAATAGTCAGATGGGTTACAATCTAACTCATTGGAAGAGTCATCTGAGAAGGTTTTGGCATCTAGGCACGCCTTTTCTCCACTTGCCACAGAGTGGGTAGGCAAAATCGTGTGGTGTGAATATTAACTGCAGGGAGAAAAATGATGCAGACAGGAATATTTTTCTCACAAGTGAGTATGAACATCTAATATGAGTGCTTTGGTGGGCTTGTGTGGTAAGCTTTCCTGTGTGGGCTTTCATGGGTATGTGGGTAAGCCTCGTGTGTATACCTTAAAAATTCTAGACTCATTTGGTATATTCCAAATGCCTCTAGCCAAACGGTAATCGTTTTAAAGAGCTTATTGTACAAACAGCTGGAAAACCATTTATTGAGTGAGCCTCACCACACTATACATTTATTTCCTTGTTCCAGCATCCAATTCATTGGACTCTTAGGTGTTAATAAGCCTAGCATCTTCAAACTATCTATGCACAAATAAAACTGATGGTAAGAACCTTGTTCAGAAAATGCAATAGAAGGTCACATTGTATCCAAAGGTGAGTGCTCTGTAATAAGTATGATATCCAGGTGCAAGGCTATAAACGTGGATTTGAGTCATTGGGTGTAGCTATGTTTGGCCATGTGCCTACAGTTGAGGGTGGCCCACCATGAGCAGTTCTGTGTGGTGACATGTGCCCACAGGGCTTTAAATGACTTCCTTCAGTATGTATTCGTGGGTGTGTAGTGTGGTTTCTGGGCAGAGCTCACAAGTTTGAGCTGGCTGCTGGCTGACACTTTCTTCCACTTATACTATGGTAAGACAGATTATGCTCACAGAACCTACTCCCAGAGGGCCAAACTTGTTTAACTGGCTGTTCCCTGAATGAAAATAATTACGTCTGATAATGCCCTGAAAAGGAAGTAGGAGGAAAGGAAAATAAGAAGAATGGCAATGAGAAATTTTCAAATAGCTTTAGAATTCTCCTCCCTGAGCTAAAGCTTTGTTTTTAAGAGCTTCTCCTTTGCTCTGTCCTCTCAAGGCTCTGTTTCTTGCCCAACTACTGTTGCTTTTCCTTCCATGTGGTCCTGTGGAATTGTGGAAACTTTCTCAACTACCGTTCACCGTGCCTTTTTGGCTTGCAAACTAGATGAGATGGACTTTGCTATCTTATTATTCATTGACCTCATAGATCCCTTGCTATGCACAAACCCACAGATAAGAATCTTCCTCTCCTCGCTGCAATTTTCCTCCTTCTGGCTATTCCTCTGTTTACCTGGGCTTCTGTCAACCAGCCGCACATCTGTTTCTCTTACGAGTTGTAGGGGAATTGTTTAACTCTCCCCCTCCCCTGCCCCCAAGCTCATGGAGCTCCAGGAGTAGTAAAAAGGGTTCTTGGCTAGAGCTGGGAGCTTTCTTTACACATGTGTTTCAGGCACTAAGAGACTCTGCCTCAATGAGTAACATTGTGGTTGTGGCTATCAATAATAAAACACAACATGTAATAGAAGACAGCATAATATGGCTAATGTAACACATGTACAATATAGCGTATCATATAAGCTACAATTCTGATTTTTAAAATTTTACCTTGTTTTCAAATCACTAAACTAGATCACATATTTAGGATACCTAGACAGTGGAAAATCAGCATATTTTGTTTCATATCAATCAGAATTAAAGAAGTAGGCTTTGCAGATCATAGAAGGAGGGAAGACTCTTGTTAACCAAAGGAAAAATAAACTTTGTAGGTATATGGAAGAGTGGTAACATCAGTTCTATTCAGAAAGAGCGAGCCAGGTTTTTGGAGGTGTAATTTCAAATATTTGCTGATTATATAGAATTAAAGGTGGCAGTCAAGAATATCTGTCCAGGTAAACAAGAATCTAGTAACTATAGTCTATTTGGAGAATTGGGAACTGAATAAATGAAGAAGGATGGGATGGGAGAAAGATTTTTATGGTATACCATTTTGTATTTTTCTTTTTGAACCATATGAATATATTTCCTTCCTGTTTAAGAGAGAAAGAAGATGGCTTGCTTTTGACACTTCCTTCAATCTATATATTGGTAAGAGTGAGTGCCTGTGTTTATCTAAATATGATGGGCAGAGGAAGCTCATAGGAGCTCTGAGAGCTGCAGAATTAAATAGTTTTTATTGATAGATGCTGTCTGTTCATTGGTTGTGAGAATGAAGTGGGGGGATGTTTCAGAGAAAGAAAGCAAATGTATAGCTCATCTCTCTTGAAATCTGTCAACTATTTATTCATTATCTGAATGAACTTTTTTTAAAAATGAAATTAAATGTTTTGTTTAAAAAATAAGTGACAACACAGCAAAAGAAAATTAGCCCTGCTGAAGGACTGTAGGAGAGGTAGATCTTTCCCACATAACCCATGGACCACAAATTCTCAGACAGGTGCTGTGAACATGAACTTGGGTATTGTAGCAGGAGTCTTGCGTAGGAGAGGAGCCTTTAAAATAACTCAAGAGATAACAGCATGAAAAGATAAGATCAGATCAGGGCTGTACTTGCTGTATAATAGAAAAGAAAAAAATGCCAGGAAAAAAAAATGTTCTTCCAGCTTGAAAATCAGGTAGATGGATAGAGATGCATTGATGGCTCAGAGAGTTCCAGGTAGGCATGTACTTAATAACTAGTGATCTGTAAAAATATTTTAAAATTCTGAGTGTGCTCTGTTTTATTTTTTCAGAGCGACTAAATCCTTGGGAATTATTCTCAGCCATGCTCTGTGCATTCTCTGTGGGTCAAGCATAGAAGTGGACAGCTGTCTGGCAATGGGAGATGAGAAGGGCATGACACGAAAGCTACTGGAATGCAGTCTCAGTGACAAATTGTGTGGTAAGTATGGATACCACAGATGTCTATCCTCTGATTTTAGGATGATGGAGGCTAAGATCTGAATAGATTCTAGGATAAAGGTGATTTGATTTCTAGCAGAAATGAAGAGGACAATGGCCACTAGAGGTTATTGTCTATGAAGGGGAGCAAGTGCCAGAGATCCAGATGTACTGCTTCCTCCATCTCAATAGGAAAAATGATAGACGAGACCATGAGCACACTTGATGAGCTAAGAAACAGGGACATTGGGGTTTCTGATTAAACAGTTGCTTCCAATAGTGGTTCTACTGAATGGAAGTAGAAGGGAAGAAGGAAGAGATGATCACTTCATGTATGATGAGCTGAGGACTAGTGGGTAGAGGAAGTTGTGTGGACAAGTTAGGCTGCTTCTTCATTCTCTTCTTTTCCTGCTTGATTTCTTACCCAGTTGTCCAGGAGCATCAGTATGAAATCATCATCATCCCAACCCTCCTGGTTGGCGTGTTCCTCATCCTTCTTGGGGTCATCCTGTGGCTTTTTATCAGAGAACAAAGAGCTCAACAACAGTCTTCTGGACTCCGAGGTAAGGCTCAAACTGGGGCTGGGCAGAGGCTCAGAGAAGATGCAGATTCCAGAAAATAAGATCCACATCTAAAAGTCTCTGCAATGGGAAAGGAGATATGGGTCCCCTCCTATGGAGTTGAAAGGGAGGTGACCTCCTCTCTAGGAAGTCATGAGTAGAATCTCAATATATGCTTTTTACCTGAAAGAAGGTTAGGCAAGAGGCCTCATGTGGCCTGTTTCTGTCTTCTTTGTCCTATTGCAATATCAAATCTTTGGCCATATGACTATCTATGGATTGGGGAGGAAGACCTAGTGGGTAAAGCCCAAGGCTTTGTTACCAGCCTTGAAGGATGACATTTTACTGTATAAAACATTTTAACCCTACTCTGTGCCCCTGAAATATATGATGAAAAGGGTTATCCTTCATAATAGTCTTTGAAGCATTAGGTAGGAGATAATAACATGCTGCTCTGGAGTATCACTGAGCATAAAATGAAAGAGAATCATTTCATACATGAAACTAAGAGTAAAAAGAAGGAAAAGAAATCCTGACTGTGATATGAAACTCTATAGTGACCGATCCCTAATCCCTTCCTAAATTTTATCCCAATTGTCTTATAATTCACTCTTACAGAAAAATTTCTCAAAGATGTTGTCTAAACTCACTCTCACTACTTCTAATTTTCACAATCTCTTTTAAACATACTAAAATAAGGCATTTATCCTCACCACTCCATCAAGACAATTCTTTCCAAGATCACTATTGACAGCTATGCTGAGTCCTTATCTTATTTGACCTGTCAAAAGGATTTGAAGCAATTTTGGACTTCCTCTTTCTTGAAACACTTTTTTTTTTCTTTTAAATCTACAGTCACTTCCTAAATGATCTCATTTTCAGTCTTATGGATTCAAATGCTTTCTCTATTCTGATTATAGTCCCCTTTGAACTCCAGATTCTTATATTAAATGATCTACTTTGCGGTTTGGATGTAATACACATCTCGTATGTAATATGTCCAAAATGAAGTTCCTGAAATTCCCTCACAAATGTCCTCCCCCAATAGTCTTCCCTCTTTTAGGAAATAGCAAGCCTAGACTTCCATGTATTCAACCTAAAATTGTGAAGATGTCCTCGACTCCTCTTTCTCTCACACTCCATATCCAATCCTTTAGCAAATCCTGTTAACTGTCTTCAAAATAAACCCAAGCCACTCTCACCTCTCAAAGATCATTGTAGTATACTCCTAACTGGTTTCTCTGCTTCTGCCCCTATCCCTTTATGGCCTATTCTCCTCAAAGAAGCAGAATAGTTCTTTTAAGGCACTGGTCAGTCCTGTCAGTTCTCTGCTTGAACCTGCCCCAGTAGCTTCCCATCTTAGAATGAAAAAAGACAAAATTCTTTCAATGGCCTTACATGATCTGGGCCCTCACTGGCCTCATCTCCCATAACTCTCCAATTATCCCACTTCTTTCCAGCTGCACTGACTTTATTATTCTTCCTCAAATATGCCAAGTATACTCCTTCCTCAATACCTTTTCACTTCTTGTTCCCTTTGTCTATAATATCCTTCATAATAGCAGTATGGTTTGCTCTCTAATTGCTTCCAGGTACTTCTCAAATGTCATCTTATCAGAAAGGCCTTTCCTGACCTTCAAACATAAAATAGCATCACTGATGTTTCTTATTCCCCTATTTTCCTCCATAATGCACATCACCTGGTATATTATTATAGGTTCCTCTCTCCTACCACTAGAAAGTAATCTTCATAAAAATCCAGATTTTTCCTATACGCCTAGAATGGTGCCTGGCATCTAGGAGGTCATATTTGTTGAATGAATGGATGAATTAATGAATGAATAGAGATTTAATAAGAAAAATGAATCTTTCTTTTCCAGTGGAGAAAAGTTAGCTAAGAAAGTACCAAAAGACTTTTTTGACTGAGACTCTAGGAAACATGGAATAATTTGACTTTGGGGGCAATTTGAGGGAGGAAGAATAACCATAGCTTACTTAGAGTTGAGTAGTTATCCATACCTCCCCTCCAACTTTGGAAGCCATTTGATTGACTTAAATGATAGTCCCCACTGGCAGTTACCACCACCTTCAGGTATCTGTGGTTTGAGTGCTTATATAGAACTTCCTTAATTAGCTCCCTACTACACTTATACTGAACTGTAATCCTGAGGAAAACAGAAAGGAAATATCATTGCCACTCCCTAGAGGTCCATCTTGAGTTGTATTAGAAGTCTTGAGATTATTATAAAAGTTGTAAAAGGTTGATATTGACGCTGGTTCATAGAGAAGCATCAGAAGGTATCCCCACATCGGCCAGAGAAAAAATTACTAAAGAAGTTTCCTTGCCAATTTATTCCAGGCTCTGCTTTCCTGGAGTCCCTAGGGTAGGGAAAAGATGGTTGGTATCATCTCTTTGTTCTAGGCATTGCCCCCATGCCTCCATCAAGAAGCCTAAGCTGGGAAGCAGCAGGACATGGAGAAAGTGTGTTTGTGCCACTTAAGGAGACATCGTTGGAAAGCCTTCTACAAACTACCACACATGCCCTAACTAAGCTGCAAGTGCCCCGGGAGCAACTCTCTGATATTCTGGAGAAGATCTACAATGGTAGTTATGCAACCATCTATCGAACCAAGATGTACACTGGGGACCCTGCTAAGCCCAAGAGTGTTGTCCTCAAGGCTTTAAAAGGTAAAAGAAGAAGTGTCAGACGTCCCTTCTCCGTTTTACTTTTCCACTGTGAGCCCCTAAAAGTGAATAATGCTAACAGGCGTTGCAGACATTAAGATGTTAATCAACTGATAGTTATGGTCATAATTGTGTGCAGAATAAGAAGGGAATAGAAAGTGAAAACTCAAAACAGAAATGTCCTTCATGGGGTCTTTCCCTAGCTCAGCCTTGCCTATCGAGGCTGTTAGAACTGATTTTTTCATACTGGTTACTAGTTGGATCAGGATTTTGAGGTCATTTCTTCATTATTTGATGTCTTTCTTTGATACTGTATTTCTTTTTTTTTTCTTTTTTTGCTGATACTTATGATATAGACTAGTAATGATGGATACGTAAAACAGAACGAGGATAGGAGAAGCAAGAACATTAATCAAAAGGCTTAGACAGTGATAATACTTTAGTGTGAACAGAACATTTGTCTATTTAGGTAGAGGAAAGCCTATCCACTTCTAAGACCTATGATTCTATATTACCTTTGACAAAAGATCAATGGCATTGAGGATCGTCTTCTAATTTGTTCCCTTTCTATTTACTTTTTGTCTATCTACACTCACTCCACTTTGGAGCCTTGAGGCTTGTCATCTCAGGTTGCTTTCTGCCTCATGCCTCCCATTTTAATGGTGATGCTCTGACTGCTCACAGCTCATAGCTCTTCTGTCCTCCACAGAACCAGCTGGCCTCCAAGAGGTGCAGGATTTCTTAGGGCGAATCCAATTCTATCAGTACCTGGGGAAGCACAAGAACCTGGTACAGCTGGAAGGGTGCTGCACAGAAGAACTGCCACTCTATATGGTATTGGAGGATGTGGCCCAAGGGGACCTGCTCAGCTTTCTCTGGACCTGTCGCCGGGTGAGCAGTAGGGTAGAGGTGTTAGGAAGGAAAACCTTGACCTGACTGAATAGCTGTTCACATGTCTATTAGCCTGACAAATGACAAAGTGGAGACATAATAGCGTAAGAGAAGGATTGAGTATCACCGTCCAACAGAACGTTTTATGAGAGAAATGTTCTATATCTGCTCTGTCCAATATGGTAGCCACTAATAACATGTGGCTATGGAGCTCTTGAAATGTGGTTGATGTGACTGAGAAAGAGAATTTTTAATTTTATTTAATTTTAAATAATATACATTTAAATAGCCACATGTGGCTAATGGCTACCATATTGGGCAGTGCAGATTTAAACTATGGACTTTAGTCTCCACCTCCTACTAGCTATGTGACTTTGGGCAAGTCACCTCTCTGAGTATGAGTTTTCTGAATCTGTAAAATGAGAATAATAATAAATTATTATTAAAATTAAAAGAAATTATGTATGTAAAAACATAGCAGTGATTGGTACACAGGAAAAACTCAAAATGGTAGCTGTTATAATGATAATTACATAACAACATAACCATTGTTAGTACTGATTATAATTTTGTTGTTAGTGTTAAGTGTGTCTTCCATTCTGTGACATCACCCTAGTATGCCGGGGCTGACTTGAGGAGAAATTCAGCTTGTAAGTTTTTGTACTTCAAACTCATATTTTAAAAAATTAAGATGTTCAGAAATTTCCGGGCCAAAGTGCAAGTCCTTTTTCTTGCAATTTCCATACTTCTTTATATACTCTTCTTTCTGAAGTGCTACATGTCTCCCTAGTTGGTTCCTCACTTGCTAATGAACAACATTAATCAAACCTAAATATGCTGATTACTTTACTACTGAATGTGTATGAAAATGGGACCCTGTTAATGTCTTCCATTTGGTGATACAAATAGGACAATGTACAAGTCTTTAGGCATTTTAAATCTTTTAAAGAGGTTATCTATCTGCAACTTGTTCTGTGCTCTAACCTCATTAGCTTCTATTTTTCAAAACTACTATGCTTCTCTATTTTAGATTATCTTCACATGCTTTTCTCATTACACCAAACTTCTCCCTTCTGTTCTTTCTTTGTATAGTCAGTGTCCACTCATCCTTCCGATCTCACCAAAAGCTTTCCTTGCTCCTCCGACTGAATCACCTCTTTCCCCCCATTATATGCTCTCTTTAACGTTTCTTTCATGGTGCATATAGATATATAACCATATATTTATATACGAATATTAGATTCTAATTCACATGTGTTTGCCACATGTTAAGCTTCAGAAGGCAGCATCCATTTATTTTCTATTTTTTTTTTTTTTTTTGCTTGAGGAAGATTAATCCTGAGCTAACATGTGTGCCAATCTTCCTCCACTTCACATGTGAGTCACTGCCACAGCATGGCTGATGAGTGGTGTAGGTCCACACCTGGGATCTGAACCCACAAACCTGGGTCGCTGAAGTGGAGTATGCCAAACTTAACCACTATGCCACAGGGCCGGTCCCATATTTTGTTCAGTCTTGTATTCTGAGTTCCTAAGATGGAATCTGGCACATAGTAGGCATTAAGTCAAGATGTGTTGAGTTAATATGCTTAATTAATCTCTCTCTCTCTCACACACACACACACGCACTGCCTCAGGAAAATTACTGCTTTATGCAGTGAATAATCTTATATATACTTGTCTTTCTTACCTGCTATTCTGTTCTTTATTCACTCTGCTATTCATCTACACTATTGTTTTTTCAGTCCAATAAATCATTGTACTTCTTTGCATATCTGAGAATATCTCATATCATTCTGTCCTTGCATCTTATAGTCTCTATGTTTTGTATCTTTTCCTTAGCTTTGATATCTGCACTTAAGACTATATCTGCCACTATTTTTTTTTTAAAGATTGGCACCTGAGCTAACATCTGTTGCCAATCTTCTTTTTTTTTTTTCCTTCTTCTTCTCCCCAAAGAACCCCCAGTACACAGTTGTATATTCTAGTTGGGAGTGCCTCTGGTTGTGCTATGTGGGACGCCGCCTAAGCATGGCTTGATGAGTGGCACCATGTCTGCACCCAGGATCCAAACCGGCGAAACCCTGGGCCGCCAAAGCGGAGTGCCTGAACTTAACCACTTGGCCACAGGGCTGGCCTCTCTGCCACTTTTTTTTTTTTTTTTCAAATCTGTTTATGTCTTTTTGACATAATGCTTTTTTTTCTGTCTCTTTAGGATGTGATGACCATGGAGGGCCTTCTTTATGATCTCACAGAAAAACAAGTATATTACATTGGGAAACAGGTCCTTTCAGCTTTGGTAAGGCTGGGAAAAATGACAACAGATGATGGGGATTTTTCTTTTTAGCCTGGTATTTGATGTCATATTTCTCATATTTATATTCCCAAGAGAGGTATATATTTTAAGAAAATCAGATGGAAGTTAGGGGACAGAGGCTCAAACACTGATAAATTATTTTCAGTTCTTTCTTTATGAAATTGTTTAGATAATATACTATAAGATTGGTAATTTTAGGCAGAAAGTAGTCAACTTAGGGTTTTTAGAAGGAACAGGAAGAGTTTTAAAAGGTTTCTCAGTCTTAAAGTTCAAACACAAGGGCCAAGAGCTGTATGTCCATTTACTTGATACTCTTACTTCCCCATGTACACTAATACTAATAGATGTGAAAGAGGCCAATAGGGAAGCAAGTTTGGAGAAGATATGGGAAGAGAAACTGAATGGGTGAAAAGCTACAGAACCAGAAGGAAGTATACAATTTTATACCTGAAAAATAAGACATACTAGTTCAGAACATGTTTTGTTGGAGACTAGCTTTGATACTGAATGTGATGGGAAAAAACATATACTTTAAAAAAGAACAGGGAACAAGTGGGAGAAGAAGAATAAGAAGGGGTAACAGTGAGATCATTCCCTCATTTTAAACCAATTTAAATGAACAGGTAAGAGAAAGAACTCAGGGTTTGATAAAAAATTTACCTTTACCAGAATGACTCAGGAAATTTAAATGACTATGTCTATGAAATTATTTAGGTGATTGTGTTTAAAATAGCATTTGCTATAGAAAATCTGGGCTCTATGAAGCTACTACTTTAAGTATTTGATATATCTTGCCACCTTGAGATGTGAAATATACCATGGATCTAAATGGAATCAGGGGAATCTTAGAAAAAGAAGCATTGAGGTGAGAAAAGAGCAGTAGTCATAGTTGAAGATCCCATGGAACAAGGGAGAGAGCACATAATATAAATTAATATTACTGACAGTGTATGGAGGGCCTAGTTGGTATGTGCCTTGATAAAGTTAAGGTGTCAGGATTCAGCCTACATTGTATTCTGAACCATAATTGCAGAGGTGCCCCATAGGGATGCATCGATCACATTGATGCATTCTTTAGGGACCTAAGTTACGAGTTACAAGGCAATATCATACTATTTTTTCTTCCTTTTAAAAAACTCAAAGTCAATACATTTTTTTAACTTCTCATTATAGTATAACTTCTTTGTTCTGAAACCTTTGCAGAGACAGAAAACTGCTAGTTACTGTTTCCTTCATCATCAATGATTGGAAATTACTACCCTGACCTTTTATTTTTTCATACTATTCTTGTTTAGTAATCATAGACCTTAATCTCTAGCTCTTCAGTCATGTATAGCTTTTCAACTTCTCCTTATGCCTTGAATAGCTTGATGTCAGGGGAAATGGCTCCAGCAAATCTATGTCATCAGGTGCAATGGTTTTCAAATGTTTTGTTGGCTGTGCTAGAATCATTTTGATATTTCTTAAAAATATAGACTACCAGGTTCCTCTTCTTGGATTTTGGTTAAGTAAATCTGGGTGAAAATCTTATGTTTTAAAAAACTCTCAGGTAATTCTGATTTGAAGCCTGGCTTGAGAATTATTAACAGAATTTGCAGTGCTTCCTGTGAATTAGAATATCTAGTTCTGGTCACTACCACTTAATAACTGTGTGGCCTTGTGTAATCATTTAGATTTATCTAAAAGATACTTCCCTAACTCACCTCATCTAGTTATTTTAGGGACAAAATGAGATGACATAAAGCTCCACATAAATTCATTATTATGACACCCAGTTTTGCTACTATGTATCACCTTGTTTGGGGGCCTGCTGCTAGAAACTTGAAACCTACTTTCTTTTCCAGTGTCTAGCTGCATCCTACCTGAGAGGAATGTGAAATCAGGCAGGGGTCAGGGCTTGACACAGGGTAGGTGATTATACTTTCCAAACCCAGTACTAATGTTAGTTGGATTATTTGTTCAGTTTGATAGTCCTAAACACAATGCAAAAATGTCTATTCATTATCATGACTTGGAAGTAATATGTCATTATTAATGAGACTTGTTGAGAGTGGAAAATGTCCTTGTCTTTTTGAGGATTTCTAGGACTGCTTCTCCTTGTGTGTGACCCAAGTTGTGACCTCAGACAGCTGATCCATCTTTGATCTTATGTTGACAGGCATTTCTCCAGGATAAGCAACTGTTCCATGGGGATGTGGCAGCCAGGAATATCCTGATCCAATGTGATCTTACTGCTAAGCTCTGTGGGCTGGGCCTGGCTTATGAAGTCTACACTCAAGGGGCCCTCTCTTCTACTCACACTGTACCTCTCAAGTGGCTCGCCCCAGAACGGCTTCTGCTGAGACCAGCTGACATCAGAGGAGACATGTATGGTTTGTTCCTGGCCTTTGTATTTCTTCCCTTATTGACCTAGGTGTCTTCTAGTCCCTGGACATGACCACATCTGTTGTCAGTTATGCCTACAAATGAAATCTCCACTTAAAAGTCAGACAGCCTCTCAAGCGGAAACGTGTGTGATGTGACAGAGCTCATATCTGGCATCTGGCTGCAATCCCTTTTAGTACCTTTTGAAGTAGTCCTTCTGCATTAGATTAGTGGCCTTAATTAGGATAGTAAAAAGAAAAATGAAGATTATTCACACCAATATCTGAGGAGTTAATCTAGTAGAGTCCCTTTTATCTGAAGGAGGTGGGTCCACTTAATCAAAAATTCACTAAAACCAGGAATTTTTAAAATAAAAAGAAATATACATCGTGCAAATAATTTATTTTAACTTAAAATACATGTGGATATTTATTTATCAATCTTTGGGAGGAAGGCCAAGGCCTTTTTCATAAGTATAGACCTGCTAAATGAAGTTATATGTTGTACTTCTTGTATAAATACCATCCATAATGAATTATTTTAAGTTTCAGTTTGGGATGATTGTAAGTAGAGAAAGAAACTTGAAAACAATCGTGAAGCAATTTGACTGTGGACACTTTGTGTTATTTTTCCCAGTTTTCTACAGTTGTCTTACCCACACAATTTGACAACACTTTCTTTTTAGCACCTTATTTTTATGGAATATTTTCAAAGCATTCAACCTAGTTTTCAAGGAACAAATACTTCTTTGCATTTATATTTAATCAGCTTACATAATATTTAATTGCTTACCTAATTGCAGTTACACATATGATTGGCATAAACAGCACTGTAATGAATCACAACTGACTTTTGGTAAGCATATAATTCAGTTGTTCAGAGGACATAGATGTAATATAGAATATCTTACTAGCCATGAATGTCACGAGCAGCAGAGGAAATTTAGAACAGCAGTTAATGTGGTGAGTCAGTTAAGAGACTTCCGTTGCTGCTTCACTGACATCTGCTTTTCAATAAAGGTCTGGGTATAATAAGCTTAACTGGGAAATACTGCTCATTTAATGATGATATTATAGAACACTGAAATATACATCTCTCAAATCATATTGCTTAAGCAAATACATATTCCAATTATGTATAAAGCTTACTCTGTTAATATTTTTCCCAGGCTTGGGCAATTAGATCTACTGAGGAAATAATCAATAAATGATAAATCTCGCTGGGCCTTGTGCTGAGAATAAAGCCTGGAATTTCAGCGGGAAGGAATGGAAAGGATAAAAAAGATGTAGAGGGGAATTTCTTTATGTTTGGGTGAATGAGTTTGAGTATTTGCATAAACACACACAATTTAGCAAATAATAGTAAAAATCTATTAATCTGAAATATAGAAGAATAGAAGACATAAATCCAGTACTCACAGAGATTAGACTCTAGGGGGATTGGACAGAAATGCTTTCTAATGGCAATATTATTTTGCTTGTTTTATCAGACACCCTTGATTCCCCTTTATTGCATTCTTTATGGGGTTCTTACTGAAGGCCTCTGATATTTATTTATTCACTTTATTAATTAAATTTATTTTTTATTGAGTTAACATTGGTTTATAACATTATATAAATTTCAGATGTATATCATTATATTTTGATTTCTGTGTAGATTACATCATGTTCATCATCCAAAGACTAATTATCATCCATCACCATACACAGGTTGAAGGCCTCTGATATTTAAGTGTGCCCTCTTTAGGAAAGACAGAGATAGAATTTAAGTAAATGGCTTTGTTTCTTTTACAGCTGGTCCTTTGGAATCCTGCTCTATGAGATGGTAACTCTAGGTGAGGAGGATCCCCAAAGTAGTATGTACCCTGTGTGCAAATATGCACGTATGTTTATTGGGTGGTAGATGACAAATGCTATGAGAAGGGGTTTCAGTACAATCTCTGAAGTTTGAACTGGGCTGACATGGAATCCAAGCCTGATTTCTGAAATAGTCTTATAAAGTCATGATTGTCTCCCTATCCCATTTCCTCCCTCCCTCTCCTTTTAACTTCCTTTTGTTTTCTTTCTCCTTCTTTCTTTTCCCCAATACTTTACCAAGTCCAAAGGATGTTTGAAATCCAAAGAATGATTCCAAGAGTGATCTTACATGAACATAAAAATGTTGTCTTTAGACTTATTAATCATTTGGTGAGAAACTACAGCACCTTCCCACATTTGGGGAGTGGAGGGCAAGTCTTATTTCTCAGTTTGCTTTATTTTGTTGCTTTCCTAAAGACTCAACAGTCTCCTAAAGTATCAGTTTTTTTCCCCCAAAACACCTTTTTTCCAAAATTCTTTAAGTTATATCTTTACTTGATCACCAGGGAGCAGCTGTATTGTATCTAGTATTTTTCCTATGGCTATACGTTTTGCAGGCAATTAGCTCAGATGGATGGAGAGAAGTGTTAGTTACAGTTTATATTCTAGAGGACCCTAAAGTTCTCTTGCTACTGTCATTCCTTCCATACAAACAGGGGCACCACCATATCCTGAAGTCCCTCCTACCAACATTCTACAGCATCTACAAAGAAGGAAGATCATGAAGAGACCCAGTAGTTGCACACACACTATGTAAGTGGCTTTTAAAGGCCTACTCTTTTCTCATTCCAAATGCTTTTTGCTCCCCATCAATCATGCCCTTTTCAAAGTGGCCAAGATGATCCCCAGCTGTCCTTTATGTGGTAATGTACAGCTTTAGACCAAATCTATGCAGTGAAACATGTCTGCTCATATATCATATACATACATCATACACACACACACACACACAGTGTTGGGGAAGCTACTGAGAACTAAATTAGGAATCTAAGTTTGATAAAGTTCAGTTCCTCTGGAAGCTTTCACAATAAGTAAGAAGCCAACCAAATCCAATGCAAGTACAATAGTGTTTTATTTGCCTAAATAGTCTCAGTCAGATACTGCCAGTTGCAGTTCTAATATAGCTGCCATAAAATACATTGCATTAGAGTTACTCACTGGCTCTTATTTAATATTTAACTTTTAAAAATTACTGACTATCTGTTTTCCCAGCTCTGAGCACATTAGAAGCCAACCACAAGAAGGAGGAAGGAAAAAATTAGCAAGACAGAAAAAGGACTATTCAATATTGTCAGCAGTAATGTCAGTTGGTGAACCAATGTAGAGGCAGAAAATGAAAAAATTAAAAATTGCACACAGGGAATGGATAAAGAAGACGCATACACAATGGAATAGTACTCAGGTGTAAGAAAGAATGAAATCTTGCCATTTGCAATAACATGGATGGACTTTGAGGTTATCATGCTAAGTGAAATAAGTCAGATGGAGAAAGAGAAATACTGTATAATTTCTCTTCTATGTGGAATCTAAGAAACAAAATGAACAAATAAAACAAAACAAAACTCATAGATACAGACAACAGATTTGTGGTTGGCAAAGGGGAGAAGGCTTGGAGGCTGGGCAAAATGAGTGAAGGGGATCAAAAAGTGCAAACTTCCAGTTATAAAATAAATTAAGTCATGGGGATATAATGTACAGCATGATGACTATAGTCAATAATATTGTATTGCATATTTGAAAGTTGCTAAGAGAGTAGATCTTGAAAGTTATCCTGACAAGAAAAAAGAAAAATATAACTTGGTATGGTGACAGATGGTAACTTGACTTATTGTGGTGATCATTTCATAATGTATACAAATATCAAATCATTATTTTGTATACCTAAAACTAATGTAATATTATGTCAAGTATACTTCAATACTTGTTATACTTCAATTACACACAGAATTTTAAAACCAATAAAGTACAAAAAGGAATTGTTATAGAACATTTAAAAAGGTTAAATTATTTATAAGAAGGCAGGAGAGAATATAATAATATTAATATAGATTTCTATTAAAATTGTTACCATTTTGTAAATTTTTCATCATTGAAAGGGTAAATTTCTAGCACCTGGGTTTCCCAATAATAAAGTTACTGTATTGAACATATTATAAATGTTAAATATCATAACTGTATATTTATATGTGTATATGTATATACACACATACACATATATATCCACTCACACACAGAGTATAGTGATACTGGCTGGGTATACTAGAATGAAATTGCTGACAAATATTTTTTGTAGGCTTTCTATGTGTGAAAGACTATCCTTGATATGGGGCAACACAACTGATAAAGTACCTGATCTTGAAGAACTTATCATTTGGATGAGGAGATATCTGAAACATGAAAATCAACACAAAGTAGGAGGCAACAAGTAGAATGATTAAAAGCTCAGATTCATCTCATAGAGTCAAAAACACACATGTTTAGTCCTAGTCCTGCTGCTTTACTGTACACTATTTACTTATCTTAAAATAGATATAATGATAATCCTACCCCAAAGTTATTGTGAAGCTAAAATGAAATAATGCAGGTTAAGTTCCTCTGCCATGACTGATGGAATAAGTTCTTGGTAAATGTTAGCAGTGTTATTGAAGTAGCATCTTTTTCAAAGTCTCAGGGTACAGCACTAAAGTCTGAGGGAAGAAGCACAGTGTGGGCTGAGCTTTATAAGGGAAGGTTTCATAGAGGAATTGAGCCTTAAACCTGTAGGAAATGATGATCATGGAGATGATATTTAAGGAATTGGGAATAGCATGAGCAAAGACAGGGTTGGGTGTTCATGACCACATCTAGGGCATAGCAAGACACTGGCTGGAGGAGATGGTTTCAATTAGGCAAGGCCTATGTGGTAGAGAAGCCAGTGGGAAACCACTGTAGGTTTTTGAACAGAGATGAGACATGATGAACAGTGTTTGAAAACAGACTACATTATAAATTCTTGGTAAACTGGATTGAAGAAAAGAGACAGATTAAAGGTAGTAAATACTTTTATCTAGATTAAGGCAATTTCCTGGAGAAGCTAAATAATAAAGGAGGGAAATGACCTGGCTTAATGGAAGGAAACATCTAATTACATTATCCAAAATTATTATGAATCATATTATTCCATAACTTCTTATTTTCCTGGCTGTAATGTAGCTTGTACTGGTAGATAAGTTATAGCAATGGTCTGGAATGCTGCAAGTTAGTAATATCTAAAGATAAGAACACAACTTCTGAAAGAGTTTTTGGCATAGAATGAAAAAAACCCTGTTTTGTCATACTGATTGTAGTTTGAGAAATCTTCAGTCATTTCTATTATAAAAAGGGTCCTGTTGAGAAGATGATATTAAGAGACTTAGTATTAAGAGGAGGACAAGGAATATTATTCTCTGGGAAGAATATGAGACAGGACAATGAGAAGTAGATTAAAGAACTACAGGGTGTTTTTGTTAAGGTTTGCTGGGAAAGGAGACATGTTCCTCAACATTTCCCTTGTCAAGGAGTCAGTTTCTCGTTTCCCTTTCAGGTATAGTCTTATGAAGTCCTGCTGGCGCTGGAGTGAGGACAGCCGTCCCTCACTTAGAGAGCTAGACTCACGCCTCGAAACTGCTGCTCGAACTGCAGATGACAAGGCTGTGTTGCAAGTACCAGAGTTGGTAGTGCCTGAACTGTATGCAGCTGTAGCAGGCATCAGTGTGGAGAGCCTCTCCTACAGCTACAGCATCCTTTGAAGATCCCAGGACAAGAAACATTTATGAGTGATCGTAAACTCTTGGAACCAATTCCTCCAAGAGCAGAGAATAGACTTTCTAGTGGGACATAAAGAGAGAAATGGGACATGGATCTTGGATCTTCCCCTACATATTCCCTAGATACCTGAAATGATGCTGGATGAGGCTCTACATACCATATGACCTTGAGACTGAGAAATACAGTTTCATTTCTGCTGTACCAATCCTAAAGACCCAGGGTAGAAATGGTGGGTAATGTCATTGCAAAGGAGGTTTTAGAAATCTGCAGTATTTGTTGAAGCATGGCACAAATAAGCAGGTCCCTCCAACCACAGGCTAGCTTCCTCCTGAAGCATGCTTTTATCTCAACTATTAGAAGGTCCAGAGAAATTGGAATCAAATGAGGGAATAGAAAGCCAGTAAAGAAGTTGATGAAAAAGTAAATTAAAGGTTTTATTTGCTAAGGAGTATAGATGTGGACCAAGTTCATCCTTCAAAAAGAAAGAGGAGGAAGTACATAAACTTCTTCAGTTCTGGTCTCTTCATGCAGGGCTGGAGGAGAATAATGAAGGAATACTTCTGAGTTTTCTATTGGCTATAGATAAGAGAAAGATGGTCCCTTTTATCTAATTCTGAGAGAGTGGTACCCTGTTGGTACTACTTTTAACTAGAAGCTGGAGGGGTCAGTTCATGATAAAGAACATTCAATATGTATTGTTCATTGGCTAGCTTCCTGGTCTCCATAAGACTATGGAAACTGAGCCTAAGAGTCAGTTTGGTCAGTGATGAATATACTATGTGTGTATTTAATAAATAGGAACTGTGGAAACCAAGCAAGAATGCTTAGTAAGCCAGAATGTCTTTAACAAGGGCTAAAAAAGGATACATACTGAGATGGAAAGATGGTAGCTTCTGATTTTCAATTATGTACTGATGTACTGTGAAACATTTCATTAAATTAATATTTATTGAGTGAAAGTAGGCTTTTTTAGTATACGGCTGCCAAAATCTCTACAATAGAGAGGATAAAAATAATTAAATGGAAATTAATGTCAATAGAAAAATTCAAGAGACAATCTACATTGTCACAAAAGGGATTCCTCATGTGTAAAATGGGGATAATATCTACCTCACAGGGTTGTTGTGAGGATTGAATGAGAGTATGTCTTTGTACAGTATTTGGCACATATTATGTGCTCAATAAATGTCAGTTTCCTTTCTTTTCCCCTTCCTATCCTAGAAGCTTTCATATCTTTTTAATTTAAAATCTACTATGGCCAAGAAGAGAAGCTCAGTCTGTCAGTCACACTGCAAAGCAGACATGGCTAGAGATGATGGTGTGGTGCAAGTACCACATGACTAAAATGATAAAGTCATCATTTTTGTGTGAGCTTCTGGATGATGACAGTGGTCTCCTACTATTTCAAAATACTGAAATATCATGATGATGACAATTCAGTAGAATGTGTGATCTGTGATATTAAAGAATACTCTGGGAGGGACATTTACGGCTGCTGTAGGAAAGATGACTGGCAATTAAAGTTTTGTAGAAGTCAGATTCCTGATGGAGTCGTGATGAGTCATCCAACTGAACAATGATCCTTGCACTGAGGGAATACCATAAGGACCAATCAGGATTTAAATGGGTGGTAAGCGGCAGTAGGGAGGAGGGAGGTGGAGTGGCTTGGCACAAAATGATAAAGTCCTGTGGAATTTCATTGTTGCTTCTTGGCTGTTCATTGAAGTCAAATTTATAAAATATTTATTTATTCAACTATTTTTTAAAAGTTGTGTGTTAAGGCCATCTGTGCCAGACACTGTGTAGGTGTTAGATAACAGAAACAGCTTTTGATTACAGTCTAGAAAGTAAGAGATTATATACATATTTGTGTGGGTATTTGTTAATCACAAATTGTGGTAAGGGCTATGAAGGAAAAGTAGAGGACAGTAGAAGGGAGTATAAAGTGAGGCCCACCCTGAAGAAATGGCATTAAAGCTGAGACCTTAGAGATGGGTAAGAAGGCCTCACAAAGAGTGAGGAGAAGAGCCTTCCAGGAGAAGGACTGTGTGTGTGAAAACTCTGAGGCAAGAAAAAAGCATAGTTTATTTGAAGAACAGCAAGGAGGTAGGTGGGGTGGGGGCAGAGTAGGAGGAAAGTGACGCATAATGAAACAGAGCATTGCTCTTCCATACTATGTGTTAACATTAGTTTTGGTAGGTGGGGAAGAAGCAGACATTTGCTATTTTAAATTTTTACCATAATTTTGTTTTTCTGGATATAGCTCTGGAAAACTGAATACAGTAATCATTTATTCTAAGAAAACTCAGTCTTTTCCCTCACGTGGCCAGGGTTTTTCCAAAAGGTGGATTATATTTCTGGTATCTTTGATTTATCAGCTAAACTCGATATTTCCAAGCTAATGAATGGAAAAGAGAATTGAAATATTTACCATTTAATCATGTTGAATCCCGATTAGGATTTGCTTTATTGCTTTGATTTCCCCCTCCCCCAATCTTGTTTTTCCAATGTATTTGTTTTCTTAAAAAAAAATTCCCGCACAGCTGGGAACTGAGCAAATACCCACCTGGATACAGTGTCCAGTTGAAACTTGACAATGTAGTTTAACTTAGAATAGTGTGAACTAGTAGTTTTCAAATCATACTTATACAGAACAGTGTTTTTCATGCTAGATTTAGGTATTTTGTTGTTAAAATTGAATAATACAGATTTTTTCACCATTTTTAAAGAAAAAGTAAGTTAATGGGTAGAATTTTCTTAATCTTAACCTTGCTGTAATAGTTTTTATGAAATTTTTGCTTTACTATAAGTTATTAAAACAAATAAATAGGTAGCAAATACATTGGAAGACTGGGAGGATAGCTTATTATGCTTAATTTAGTGGACTGTTTTTATTTGTTTTGGACATAAATATTAGTGTTTATGCTATTTGTTAGAAGCATATAATATTGTCATATGCTTGAAAAGATTATTAGTTTGAATAATGGAATTAAATATGTCATCATGTCATAATAATCTAGCAATAGCTCCAAGTGCTCACCATATATGAACATATCTGAGAGATAATGGTGTGGAAATTTTGGTGTTTCTGCATGATGGTGGTTCTCTTATTAAAAAAGTAATGCCACTGACTGGTTAAAAAGACATGTACAGTTAAAAACTCCATAGAAAAATCTATTATAGAAGAGAGGAGAGAAAGCTGGGTGGATGGAATAAAGACTGAAATAGACCATTTCATTCTGACATTTAAAAAAATTTTAAATTACCTTAGAATGTTGTTTTAGACCATAAAATACTCTTGATTTACTACTCTGATCCATTTAATGGAACAAGATAGACCTCACAGCTTTTGTTCTGTAAATACAAAATCAAAACTATTCAAAAGCTACTGATAAAAGAATGAAAACAAAAAAATATCTTCTCTAGTGTTTATCACAGGAAAGTCAGAACATTTTTCTGAAAATTATAATTAAAATTATTTGATAATTTTAAATAGACAAAGGCAAAAAAATAGAACAGCCATGAGAGATCAAAGGAAGAGAGAATTTTAGACACAGGAAAAATCAGCAGAACATTTTAAAGGATGAAGTTAACAATTATAAGAAAGAATCATCTCTGACCCTAGCCCTCTGACTTGATTATCACCATGAAGCTGAAAGCAATAAACTTTTAAAAACTCTAGTGGGGAACCATTATTTTGTCAATGAATATTATGTACTTGATTAAATCACTAAGCCCTAATTTCAGCTGAAGTTGGAAATGTTTACTTCTTTTTTTTATTGTGGAACATTGTTTTATAACATTATATAAATTTCAGGTATACATCATTATATTTCGACTTCTGTGAAGATTACATCATGTTCATCACCCAAAGACTACAATCTATCACCACACACATGTGCCTAATCAGCCCTTTCACCATCCTTCCTCCCTCCTTCCCCTCTGGTAACCACCAATGCAATCTCTGTCTCTATGTGTTTGTTTATTGTTGTTTCTATCTTCTATTTATGAGTAAGATCTACAGTATTTGACTTTCTCCCTCTGACTTATTTCGCTTAGCATAATACCCTCAAGGTCCATCCATGTTTTCACAAATGGCCAGATTTCAATTTTTTATGGCCAAGTAGTATTCCATTGTGTATATATACCTCATCTCCTTTATCCATTCAGCCCTTCATGGGCACTTAGGTTGCTTCCAAGTCTTGGCTATTGTGAATATTGCTGCAATGCATACAGGGTTGCATGTATCTTTACACATTTGTGTTTTCATGTTCTTTGGATAAATACCCAGCAGTGAAATAGCTGGATCATATGGTAGTTCCATTGTTAATATTTTGAGGAATCTCCATACTCTTTTCTATAGTGGCTGTACCAGTTTACACTGCCACCAGCAGTGTATGAGTGTTCCCTTTTCTCCACATCTTCTCCAAAACTTGTTATTTCCTGTCTTGTTAATTATAGACATTCTGACAGGAGTGAAGTGATATCTCATTGTAGTTTTGACTTGCATTTCCCTGATAATTAGTGATGTTGAATATATTTTCAAGTGCCTGTTGGCCATCTGTATGTCTTCTTTGGAGAAATATCTGTTCAGATCTTTTGCCCATGTATTAATTGGGTTGTTAGTTTTCTTGTTGTTGAGTTGTGTGAGTTCTTTATATATTTTGGATATTAACTCCCTATCAGAGATATGGTTTGCAAATATCTTCCTCCAGTTGTTAGGTTGCCTTTTCATTTTGTTGATGGTTTCCTTTGCTGTGCAGAAGCTTTTTAGTATGATCTAGTCCCATTTGTTTATTTTATTGTCATTTCCCTTGCCTGGTCAGACATGGTACTTGAAAATATGCTGCTAAGACCAATGTCAAAGAGCATACTGCCTATCTTTTCTTCTAGAAGTTTCATGGTTTCAGGTCTTACATTCACGTTTTTAATCCACTTTGAGTTAATTTTTGTGTATGGTGTAAGACAATGGTCTACTTTCATTCTTTTGCATGTGGCTGTCCAGTTTTCCCAAAAACACGTTTATTGAAGAGAGTTTCCTTTCTCCATTGTATGTTCTTGGCTCCTTTGTTGAAGATTAACTCTCCATAGATGTATGGGCTTATTTCTGGGCTCTCAATTCTGTTCCATTGATCTCACTGTCTGTTTTTGTGCCAGTACCATGCTGTTTTGATTACTATACCTTTATAGTATATTTTGAAATCAAGGAGTGTGATACCACCAGCTTCGTTATCTTCTCTCAGGATTGCATTGGCTATTTGGTGTCTTTGGTTGTTCTATATGAATTTTAAGATTCTTTGTTCTATTTCTGTGAAAAATGTCATTAGAACTTTGATAGGGATTGCACTGAATCTGTAGATTGCTTTAGGAAGGGGGGCATTTTAACTATGTTAATTCTTTCAATCCAAGAGCATGGAATATCTTTCCAATTCTTTGTGTCTTTTTCAATTTCTTTCAACAATGTTTTATAGTTTTCAGTTTAAAGTCTTTCACCTCCTTGGTTAAATTTATTCCTAGTCATTTTATTCATTTTGTTGCAATTACAAATGTGATTGTATTCTTAACTTCCGTTTCTGCTACTTTTTTGTTACTGTATAGAAACACAACTGATTTTTGTATGTTGGTTTGTATCCTGCAACTTTACCATATTCATTAATTATTTCTAACAGTTCTTTAGTGGATTCTTTAGTATTTTCTATATATAAAATCGTGTCATCTACAAATAGTAACAGTCTCACTGCTTCCTTCTAATTTGGTTCACTTTTATTTCTTTTTCTTGCCTGATTGCTCTGGCTAGGACTTCCAATATTATGTTAAATAAGAGTGGTGAAAGTGGGCATCCTTGTCTGGTTCCTGTTCTTAGAGGCATAGCTTTCAGTTGTTCTCCATTGAGAATGATATTAGCTGTGGGTTTGTCATTTATGGCCTTTATTATGTTGAGGTACTTCTCTTCTATACCCATTTTTTTCAGTGTTTTATCATAAATGGATGCTGTATCTTGTCAAATGCTTTCTCCACATCTATTGAGATGATTATGTGATTTTTATTCTTCATTTTGTTAATGTCACTGGTGTATAACACTGATTGATTTGCAGATGTTGAATCATCCTTGCATCCCTGGAATAAATCCCACTTGATCATGGTGTATGATCTTTTTAAAGTATTCAATTTGCTAGTATTTTGTGGAGGATTTTTGCATCAATGTTCATCAATGATATTGGCCTGTAATTTTTTTGTGTGTTGTCCTTGTCTTGTTTTGGTATCAGGATAATGTTGGCTTTGTAGAATGAGTTAAGAAGCTTCCCATCCTCTTCAATGCTTTGGAAGAGTTTAGAAGGATAGGTATTAAGTTTTCTTTGAATGTTTGGTAGAATTCACTAGAGAAGCCATCTAGTACTGGACTTTTATGTTTTGGGAGGTTTTTGATTACTGTTTTGATCTCCTTACTGGTGATTGGTCTACTGAAATTCTCTATTTCTTCTTGATTCAGTTTTGGAAGGTTGTATGATTCTAAGAATTTATCCATTTTTTCTAGATTATCCAATTTGTTGGTGTATAGCTTTGACAGTATTCCTTTATAATCTTTTGTATTTCTGAGGTGTCCATTGTAATTTCTCCTCTTTCATTTCTGATTTTATTTATTTGAAGCTTCTCTGTTTTTCTTAGTGAGTCTGGCTGAAGGTTTGTTAATTTTGTTTATCTTTTCAAAGAACATGTTCTTAGTTTCATTGATTTTTCCTATTGCTTTTTTTCATCTCTATTTCATTTATTTCTGCTCTGATTTTTATTATTTCCATCCTTTTACTGATTTTGGGCTTTGTTTGTTCTTCTTTTTCCAGTTCCTTTAGGTGCACTGTTAGATTGTTTATTTGACATTATTCTTTTTTGTTGAGGTAGGCCTCTATTGCTATAAACTTCCCTCTGAGAACTGCTTTGCTGTATCCCATAAATTTTGACATGTCATATTTTCATTTTCCTTAGTCTCCAGGTATTTTTTGAATTCTTCTTTGATTTTGTTGTTGATCCAGTCATTGTTCAGTAGCATTTTGTTTAATCTCCACATATTTGTGACTTTTCTGATTTTATGTAGTTGATTACTAGTTTCATACTGTTGGGATCAGAAAAGATACTTGGTATTATTTTGATCTTCTTAAATTTATTGAAACTTGTTTTGTGGCATAATATGTGATCTATCCTGGAGAATGTTCCATGTGCATTTGAAAAGAATGTCTATTCTGTAGTATTTGGATGGAATGTTCTGTATATATTACTAAGCCTGTCTGGTCTAATGTGTCATTTAAGGCCAATGTTTCCTTATTGATCTTCTGTTTGGATGATCTATCCATTGGTGTAAGTGGAATGTTAAAGTCCCCTACAATTATTGTGTTACCATCTATTTTACCTTTATGTCTGCTAATAATTGCTTTATATTTTTAGGTGCTCATATGTTGGTTGCATAGATATTTACAAGTGTTATATTCTCTTGTTGGATTGTTCCCTTCATCATTATCTAGTGTCCTTCTTTATCTCGTTACAGTTTTTGTTTTAAAGTCTACTTTGTCTGATATAAGTATTGCTACCTCAGCTTTCTTTTCATTGCCATTTGCATGGAGTATCTTTTTCCACCCCTTCACTTACAGTTTGTGAGTGTCTGATGTGTGTCTCTTGTATGTAGCATATATATGGATTTTTTTTTTTTTGAGGAAGATTATCCATGAGCTAACATCTGCCACCAATCCTCCTGTTTTTGCTGAGGAAGATTGTCCCCAAGCTAACATCTGTGTGCATGTTCCTCCATTTTACATGTGGGGTACCTGCCACAGCATGGCTTGATAATCAGTGCATAGGTCCATGCCTGGGATCCAAAATGGTGAACACCATGCTACCAAAGCGGAGTGTGCAGACACAACTGTTACACCACTGGGCCAGCCCCTGGGCTTTGTTTTATCGCCAATTGGCCACTGTATGCCTTTTGATAGAAGCATTTAGTCCACTGACATTTAAAGTAGCTATTGATAAGTATGTACTTATTGCCATTTTGTTACTTTTTTTCTGGGTGTTTTAATAGTTCTCTGTTCCTTTCTTCTTCTCTTGCTGTCTTCCCTTGTAGTTTGATGGCTTTCTTTAGTATTATGTTTGAGTTCCTATCTCTTAATTTTTTCTGTATTTATTATAGGTTTCTGGTTTGTGATTATCATGGGGTTTATATATAATAACCTACATATATAGCAATCTATATTAAATTGATATTGTCTTTAGTTTGATCTCTTGCTAAAAGTTCTACTCTTTTACTCCCCACCTCTCACATTTTATGATTTTGATATTATGTTTAACTTCTTTTTTGTGCATGTGTATCCATTACCCTCTTATCATGCCAATAGATCATTTTAGTACTTTTGTCTTTTCACCTTCATATTATCTTCATAGGGGGTTGATCTGCTATCTTTACTGTATGTTTGCCTTGACCAGTGATTTTACTGCTTTTGTTTTTTGGAATTTTCTTATTCCTTTTTCTGATCTCTTTTGCACTTAAATAAGTCCCTTTAGCATTTCTTGTAAGGCTCATTTCCTTGTAAGAACAGCTTTAGTTTTTGCTTGTTTGGGAAACTCTATCTCCCCTGTCATTCTGAATGATAACTTTGTTGGGTAGAATATTCTTAAGTGTAGGTTTTTTCCTTTTAGCACTTTAAATATATAGTGGCTTAGCTCAGGGCCAGTCTTCCTCAGCAAAAAGGAGGATC